AGCACTAAAGTATTTATATCATTTAGGAGAGTTCTCTGATGTGTCTTAATGAAGTAAGCCAAACACAGGAAGACTATAATCACGTGATCCCACTCATATACAAAGTGTTTTAAAAATTGATCTCAAGAATTTTGAGAAATATAACGTTGTGGGTTTCTGGAACCCACAGTTATTATTTGGCTAAGCAGGTATTATCTCTCTCCTAATTGTGGGTACTCCCTCAGAAACGCAATGGGTGCTAAGGTATGCTGTGTGTCACACAACTGCTCCTTCAGAGTCTTCCTCATTTTGTGTATGCTGTGGCAAACCACAGGCTACACAGTTGTCTGTAACAAACCTTTTTCTCATTTGAGGTGTCAAGAATTCTATCTTTAACTTCAGTGGTCTCTTTAGTAGCACTCACACTGACACTGTAATAAGATTATACAATACATATGGTACTTGTTTTCCCTGTAGCTATTGGCAGGACTGTAGGCTTAATCTTTTCCAACCAACTAGCTCACGAAAGTATGTTTTCACAGCACCAGTCACTGCAGAACCACTTCATTCCTGAGAAATCTTTTAGACAAGATTAGTCATCTATCAGAGAGAATATAAATGTCACCTTAGAGTTCAGGAAGGCGACCACATGGTACTTTGCAGAGACAATACAATACTATAATGTTCATGAAGCCACATAGGAACTCAGTGTCATTCACACCAATTGTTTTATTTGGATCTTTGTATACCCAACACCAAGCAAAAACAGGATATTTTCATTTCTGATAGGAATGAGAATAAATGATTATTGCTTCACAAATGACTGTGCACTTCCTTCTGTGTGGTCCGAGTACAGTTGTGGCTAACCATCCTGTATAATGGACTGCTAAGGAGACATAAGTGCAAACTGACATACAACCCTTTGTTTCTCCTTCTCAGCTTCTTTACATGTGAAGTGCATGTATATGTATGTGGATTTATAATATATGTGCTCAGGCACACACATGTGTATTCTTTTGAAAAGCATTCATTAAAAAAAAAGAAATATGGCTTTTGACAATTTATTAGACACACACATACACATGGCGATTATTGTTTATGATTTATTAAAGTCACTGGAAACCAAAATATCAAAGAAGCCATATTAGTTAGACATAGAAGCCAGGCAGTGGTTTTAATTCCAGGACTCAGGAGACAAAGGCAGATGGATCTCTCTGAGTTCAAGGCCACCCAGGGCTACATGAGATTGAATCGGTCTAAAAGAGTAACAGAGCTCACACATTTAATCCCAGGACTCATGGGAAGTATTTAAGACACGAACAGGGTCTCAGAGCTGGCATTCTTTCTCCAGTCACACTGAGGATAGGAAGACATTGATTCTCCAGCCACACTGAGGAGAGGCAGCAGTCTGAGGCTTGGTGAGAGCTTGTGGAGACAGGATCAGCCCTATCAGCCTGAGGTAAAGGTAAGAGCTAGTGGCCTGGCTGCTTTGCTTTTCTAATTTTCAGCTTGAAGCTTGAACCCCAATATCAGTCTGTGGGTTTTTTATTTTTCTATGTTACACACACACATACACACACACACTATATATATATAGGCAGGATATAGAGGGGATCAACTGAGGTTCTACACTGAAGACTCTCGAGGGAGTAGGGCACCCCGTAAGTGTGCAGAGGATAACTATGAGACTTGTGGATCATGTGACAGGAATGACAATTTAGAGAAAAAGGTAGTTTGTGTCCTACGATGGCAAAAGTAGAGAAAGAATTAGGTACTAAACAGGCACTCAGAACACAGGAACATTTAAGAATGTCTTTAAATTTGTTGACTTTCTATAAATTAGGTGAGAGAAAAGCCTCCTTTATCATGTCCAGAAGTAACAAAGTTGTTACTTTCCTTGAACCAGGAATGATAAATATTAAAACAGCATAATTTATTTTTTCTCAGTGCCCCAGGTAAAATATTTATTTTTTAGAAATCTAAAAAGCTATCCTGGGGCGTTAGGGGATGGCCCTGTCAGTAAAAGACTTGCTGTGTAAGCATGGGGACCTGAGTTCTGAACCTTGGAGCATGTGTGAAAACAGCTGGTACAGCTTCATGTGCCTGGGAAGGTATAGACAAGGGTCCTGGGGCTCCCTGGTGGCCCAGCCTCACAGACTAAGAGGTGAGAGGCCATGTCACAGAAGGCAAGGTGGAAAGCCAATGACCTCCGGTTGTCACACTCATGGGCATGGCACCCACACATATGCACCCATGTGGACCCCACAATTCCCTCATAATAAAATCTGGTTTAATTCTTCTTGGTTGGCATAAAGTGATGCTTCAGTAGATGTCTGCAGACTCAATGACTGACAGAAAAATACGAGTGGGGCTCTGAAGACGGCAAAGCACACAGACTTACATACTCCTAAAATAAATTAATCCACTAACTTTAAATAGAGGAAAAGAAAAAACTCTTCCCAAAATATTTGGTGTTTACAGAATAAAGAACACAAGTTTATATAGTAACCTTTTTTTCTGCAGTGAATTTCTCTGCAGTTGCTAGTTTCTTGATAACTATAGCCCTTCAGTCCCCTAAGGCTTCTTCCTGTAAACAACATGAATAGTATTCTCTATTCTCCCCAGTGCTAAGATGTGTTTGTCTTTTCTTTAGAGACAGGCGTTTGTAATCATCCTTGATGGCCTGAAGCTTTCTATGTAGACTAGGCTGGCCTCATATTTGTGGTGATCCCCCTGTTCCTGCCTCCCAAGTGGCACCATGCCCATGTCTCCACTGTCTTGCTGTGGGCCTTTTTCATCTCCTTTGGACTGTGGTAATTGCTTATCTGGTGAAGAACAATGCCCTGACACATGACATTTGCATTTGGTCTTTTCTGTGGGTTTGTCTTCAGGACTCTGTAATGAGGCTTCTTGTGTAGATTCCGAGCTCTCCTTGACTGCTTTAGAGCTCGATTGGAGTCTGGACTGGACATGGTGTCCATGGGAACGTTGAGTCACCGCAGAGGAAACTGTTCTGCACCAAGGGTTACACAAGTCACTGAACTCGTGGCAAATGCTTTCAGTCCCAGTGCAGAGCTGTCCCTCATGCCCACTAGGAGCAAGTTCAAATCACTGTTTGCTTACATGAGCAGAGAAATTTCAGGACTGTTTCCAAGGCCTAGTAATCCCATTGCCTTCATTGTAGGTTACACATGGTCCCCTTAACTGGAGAGGAGAAAGAGTCTTCATTCTGTCCTTGCCAGATCTCATACATGGGAAGGTATAGGCCTTTTGATACCATTGCAGATATTAAGTTTCTTTCTTTTTTGTTATTTCTTTATTTGGTTTTGGTATCCTATTGGATGTGTATCTGCTCATGTGTATGCATGTGTATGGAGTGCACATGCCCACATGTGCACCTGCAGAGACCTAAAGTTGACATCAGGGTGTGTCTCATTCACTTGTTCTCTACTGTATCTACGTATGTATGCATGCATGTGCTGTATGTATGCATGTACTACATCTGTAGTTATGCTTGTATTTGAGACATGTTCTTTTTATTGCACTTGAAGCTTGATGCTTTGGTTAGATTGGCTGGCTATAGAGCTCTGGAGGCCTGCTTGTCTCCATCTGCATGCACTAATTACATGCACTAGTAATATACAACCACCTCTGGGTTGTTTTTATGTGGGTGCCAGGGACCCCAGTTAAAGTCATCTTGCTTGAATAGCAAGTGCTTTAATCACTCAGGCTCTCTTCAGTCCCAAAGCCCTAACTTTCCTAAGAAGCAAAGCCTCATTTTTCTTATGCATTTATCTTTATTGTCTACCGCAAAGGTGCCTCAGGAACTTCCTCATAACAGGGTCGTTAGATACAATGGTTGCCAGTGATGCCAGAGCTGGCAGGCAGAGAAGGTAGGATACCATTTGTGCTGACAGATGCCAGCAGCACTGCATTTTGGTCAGTGCAAACATGTGTCATCTTCTATACACATTTCCAGAAGTAAATTGCCAGAGTAGTGACTCCTGCTACCTTGAATTAAAATGTGAACCACACCACTGTGAGAAGACTAAGATTAGGCACTAGATTTACTAATCCAACATCACCACAATGTTGTCTATTGTTTTGTCCAAACTGGTATGTATACATTCATACTATCTGGTTGAACAGGAGCCTTTAACACAGCAGGGAAAGTGACACTTTTGTGAGATGACTTCCCTATTTTGAAAAAAACTTTATGATGGTGGGGAAAGTCCTTCTGTGTATATGTTTGTCTTATTGGTTGAAAAATAAGACACTGTTGGTCAATAAGGAAGCAAGATAGCTGGGACTGGGAGTCAAGGGGGATTCTGAGAAATGTAGTCAAGAGTAGAGAGTTGCCATGTGATCCTGGGAAGAGAGGACACATGAGGCTGGTGTCCTCGGTAAGATAAGACCATATATATATATGTATTAGTAGTTATGGGTAATACTTAGGACAGGACTAGCCAATGAGAAGCCCTGGACATTGGCCGACAGCATTGTCACTAATAGAGTCTCTGTGTGTTATTTGGGGTTGACACTGCTCTGGGACCAGGCTGGCAGGAAAAGTGACACATTTGCGAGTTGACTTCCCTATTTTGAAAAAAATTATGACAGTGAGCCACAGCCTCCTCGATCTGCAGCAGCCACATGAAAATTTCAAGTAGCATGATTAAAAACAAAACAACCAAAACAGAAATGCTGGTTTCTGTGGAAGCTTTCCTTTAGGCTAGATTCTTGGAGACCTATCATATTTTCATGTGCCCCCCAACCCAACATAAATCAGCTCACAGAACAAAGCAGAAGATGGGTCTCATAGTTCTGAATGCCCACCAACAGCACTGCTCCAAATGGCAGTGCCCCTGGCAGCTCACCATCTCATTCCTTTTGTGACACATTGTCTGGGCTGGAACTGTTTATAGAAGTCTTTGGTGAAAGTGCCTTCAGAGGCAAAAGAAACAACCACTTAACAAAGGTTTCTGAGTCAGATCCCATAACGGAAAAGCAAAGAAACAGCTCACCTTGACATACAGTGGCTCTCTAAGATGCTCAACAAGAATGCAAGTCCTCTCCTCCCACACAGGATTCAGGTTCTTATGTATAATTTTACTTCTGAAGACTTCTTTTCTTCCAATTTTAAACTTCACATATGGATCACTTGTCCCTGTTGAAGAGATACACATGGTCTGCATCAGCCATTCCTTTCTAAGAAAGTATGACAGCCGCTCATTGAAACATCAGAAAGAATTAAAGGGGAAACGTTAATCGAGACCTATCACACAGGAAAAGGTTTTCTTCTCTAAGAACTGAAGCAAGATCAAGTCATAACCATCATTGTTATTGCTTTATCTTCTGAGCATAACCCTGTAAACTTATCCCGGCTTTTCAGAGACACAATTGCTTCCACAGAGGCAGAAGTAATTTGCATTCTGCCAGCAGTGCTCAAGGGCTCTTGTCTCCTGCATCTTCACCAGCACATGTTGCCATTTGTTTCCTCAGTGATAGCCATGCTGATGCAGTAAGACAGGAGATCTCATTGTAGTTTTGAATTTCCATTTCCCCAACTGCAATGACTAAGAATGCTGAACACTTTTATCATATATTTCCTGGCCAGTTGCAGTTGATCTGTTGAGAATTTTCTATCCATTTCATTAACCCACCTTTTCCCCCCTTTTTGTCTATTTAAGTTATAAACAAGCTTGCTTCACATGTCAATCCCAGCTCCCTCTCCCTTCCCTCTTCCCTCAACCTCCCCACCAAGTCCCCCAGTCCCCCACCCAATCTCTACTCCCATCCCCAGGGAGGGTGAGGCCCTGCATGATGGATCTCCAGAGTCTGTCATTCCATCCAGGGCAGGGCCTAGGCCTTCCCACAAGAGTCCAGACTCATTGTGGGATGGGCACTCAAAGTCTATTTGTATGCCAGGGACAAATACTACCCAAGGCCCCATAGGTTACCTAGGCCTCCTCACTGACACCCACATTTAGGGGGTCTGGGTCAGTCCCATGCTTTCCACACAGCCATCAATCTGGAGTTCAAGAACTCCCCCTTGTTCAGGTCAGCTGTTTCTGTGGATTAGACCAGCCCAGTCTTAACTCCTTTGCCCATCAGTTCTCTCTTTCTAACACTGGATTCCAGGAGTTCAGTTCAGTGTTTGTCTGTGGATATCTTCCTCTGCTTTCATCAGTCACTGGATGAAGGTTATGTTTCCTCAACTCTCTGACAGTGGGATTGTATGCTGGCACTCCCCTGATTCGTGTCTAAAATCCATATATGCGTGAGTACATACCATGTTTCTCTTTTTGTGACTGGGTTACCTCATTCAGGATGGTTTCTTAGCCATTAACCCACCTTATTGGTTGGGTTGATTTTTGTTTGTGGTATTTGGTTTTGATTTCTTTTTACGGATCCTGGATCTCAAACCCATTAGATACTGAGCTAGCATGATTTTCCTCCTATTCTGTAGACCATCTCTTCATTCACTTAATTGTTCCTTTGATTTTATCATTTTAGCATCATGCCATCAGAGTTGTCAACTCTTCCTTTATTTCCTGAGCATGGAGGTTCCACAAAAACAAACAAAAATTAAATAAAATAGGGGGTGGGGATACAGCCCTTACTACAGAGCTATATAGAACACTTGCTGGGCTTGTTTTAAGCCCTAAGCTCAGTCCCCAGTATGAATAATAACCAATAAACAAAACCCTAAAAGCAGAGCCCCATAGGGCCTAGCTATTTGATTCCCGAGTACATAGTCTAAAGACTCTAAGTAAACACACCACAGAGAGACAATTTCACATCCATGGTTACTACAGCAATCGTCACAGTATCCAAAGCATGGAATCAGTGGCCATAAACAGAAGGATATGTAAAGATAATGAGGTATATATCTGTAATGAAGTATCATTTAAACTTGAGAAGAGTAAAGTTAATGCTGTTTGCAGGAAATAGGAACAAATGGAGATTATTACCCTAAATGAAGTAAGACAGATTTAGAAAAATGAAAAACCATGTTTTCTCTCATGTGTGGATTCCAGTTTGCATACAGATTCACAAATCATTTCTTTGAGAATGACATGAAGGCAGAAATGAGACTTCTATGGAAATAACGTGTATTAGTGGGAGGGGTGAGGTTGGAGAAAGAAGAGGTGTGAAGGATGACTATTCTTAGAGTGCATGATATGCTTGATTGAACATCTCTATGAAGCCTGTTACTACATACAATCAGTATAAAAGCCAATGTGAATAAAAATCAACATGATTGAATGGTGGAGTTAACTGACATTTCTATTGATATCATCTGAACTGCTGCAAAAAGAAGGATCAATGATATTGACCAATTTTGCTAGTTTAAAAAGACACACACGGTCAGCAGTCACCTAAAACCTTAGAGAAAAGTGGGTCTCAATGCTGACCTACTATTATTCTTAGCTCCATATATCCTTACCTTGTAACTTACAGCTTTGAATACCAGACAGGGATGGATGTGGAGTTTTGGGTGTTTTGTTCCCAGCTATTGTCATCATTGAGGAGTAGTTGAATCAGGAGGGTTCTAACTCCATAAATAGGTTAATTATATATACATATATAGTTAATTAACTAATGATATCACTACTTAACATATATATATATAACACCACATATATATATGCATGTATAGTCTAAGTAAAATCAGAAATGGTAAGCGAGTTGCTTATAATACACAATAGTTGTTTGATTCTAATTGTCTGTGCTTTTTTCTAGCTGTGCCCATAGGAGGGAATGGCCTATACATACTTACATATATATTATGATATTTCTCATTGCAGCATGAGGCTGACAATACGACCAACCTTGACTCAGCTGTTCTTGCAGTCATTAAAATCCTAGAGACTCAGTGGCACCCTCAATAGAATTTCTAGTGCACAGCAATGTCTGTAATTAGAAAGTGGTTATTTATGTCTCCCTAGTGTTAGGGTTTAGCTTAATTCTTCCTGGTTAGTCCAAATTGTAGCTTCAATTGATACCTGTAGACTGTATGATTAAAGAAAAATAAAGTGTAAAACACTATGTAAGTGATAAGAATTATAACTACAGTGCTGACCTCTTAAACTTCTCTCCAAATCAATTTTCAATACTTTACTCCCTGAAGCAACATGCAAGTGTTTATGCTACATATAAAAACTGCCTTTTGACTTGTACTTATTCATCACTTGAGGCTCTCTCCAAACTTGTAAAGCAGGGCAAATCTATAATCCAAACACTCAAGAGATAGAAACAGGAGGATCAGACATTCAAGGCATTCTGTATCTACAACAAGTTCAAGGGAGCCTGAATTATATGAGAGTCTTTTTAAAAATTCTGTATTTGGAGAGACCTGGGGGAAAACCAAACCATCCAGCAACTGTCACCTTTGGAGACTTAGCACCACATCCACTAGGAGAGGTGTGTACTGGACCCTTTCCTGCCCCTCCTCCCCTCTCATTGGAAGCCTTTGAACAGGGTACATAGACAAATCCCACCACCAAGTCTCCAGAGACCTGGGGGCAGACCAAACCATCTAGCATCTGCCACCATTGGAGTATTGGCACTGCACCCTCTGGGAGAGATCCTTGGCCCCACACCCCCTGCAAGAGCTCCTGCCATCAGAGCCTTGGCTCTGCAACCACTGGGAGAGGCCCTATCTGCACCCACTGAATGAAGAGATGGGAAGAAACTTCCCCAACCTAAAAAAAAAAGCCATGCCAAAAAGCTTACAGAGCACCAGATAGAATGGACCAAAACAAAAGTCCCCTCGCCACATAATAACCAAAAACCAAACATACAGAATAAAGAAAGAATATTAAGAGCTGCAAAGGAAAAAGGCCAAGTAACATATAAAGGCAAACCTATCACAATCACACATGATTTCTCCATGGAAACTCTGAATGCCAGAAAATCCTGGACAGATATTCTACAAACACTAAAATACCATGGATGCCAGCCCAAACTACTATAGTCAGAAAAGCTTTTTAATAACTACAGATGGAGAAAACAAGATATCACAAAAAAAGATTTAAACAATACATATCCACAAGTTCAGACCTACAGAAAGTACTGGAAGGAAAACTCCAACCCAAGGAAGCTAGCTACATGAGCAAAAACATAGGCAATAGATAATCCCATGTTACCAAAAGCCCCCCATAAGGTGATGGAAACACAAACATGATATCACAACCAACAACAAATCCAAAACTAACAAGAATCAATAATCAATGGTCATTAATATCCCTTAATATCAATGGTCTTAATTAACCTATAAAAAATACAGGCTAACAGAATGGATACAAAGACAGAATCTACTCTTCTACTGCATACTAGAAAGACCTTAATTTCAAAGACAGACATTACCTCAGATTTAAGGGTTGAGAAAAGATTTTCCAATCCAACGGACCCCCAAGAAACAAGCTGGTGTAGCAATCTTGATATCTAACAAACTAGATCTCTAACTAAAATTAATCAAAGGAGATGAAGAAGGTCATTTCATATTTGTCACAGGAAAAATCAAGATGAAGTGTCAATTCTGATATGCCCAAAATACAAAGGAGCCCACTTTTTTTACCTTCAAAGATAGGGATGTGGCATGTCCCAGCTTGTTTGATTCATAGTCCTTCCTGATAAGGAGACTGGGAATCCCAAATTTACCCACAGATTTGGGAAAGTGATAACCTATGTATATAAGGTGGAAACTTGCAGAATGTTTAACAATTTTGGAAGTCAATATCCAGAAATCATGAATTTTCTGTCTATCTTATGACCTAGCAATTCTTTTTCTGAACCTTCATTTCAGCTAATTTCCCTTTTTAGTTTCTTAAAATGTAATTTCTTCCTTCTTTATATCAATGGATAACTTTAAAGAATAAATGTTTTTCTTCTACCACCTGTGTCAGAAGTATCAAATTCAGGTATAGGCTTCATGGCAAGATTTTTTTCTCATGGGACTGTCTTTTTATGTGAGTCAAAAAGGGACAACAGATCTTTTGTCTATACTGTTTCTGTGTCTATACCTGTGCCTATGTCTGTCTATGTGTTTATATCATCATCTATCTATCTATCTATCTATCTATCTATCTATCATCTTAGAGTTTCTATTGCTGTGAAGAGACCATGACCACTGCAACTCTTATAAAGGAAAACATTTACTTG